CAGGATGACACGAGTTAGATACCATTTCAGCACAATTCCCAGCCGACCCAACAACATTTGTCCACACACAATGGAAAGATCCTCCTCCCCAGAAAGGAAAGAAAAATCCTTGAACTTTCTGGTTGATTTCAAGGAGAGAATGCCCAGGAGATTACCCGGTTCAATAATGGATTTGGCTAAAACAGGAGCCTCCATTGACTCCTTTCCTCTGGGCTCTCAGATACTCGCACTGCCCTGGCTCCTCCCCATTTGCTGCTATTGTTCCTATTCATTCTAAATGATGAAGGGGCTTTTGTTGCTCAAACCCATATGGGGTCAGATCGCCCCTTGCTTATCAATCTGCCTCTCTCTTCTCTCCATAACCTCAGCTTACCCCTCTCCCCAGATGCAAACAATGCCATGTTTTCTTCTGGTGCAGTTTTCAGAGGGGGAGTTGTTGCCTTTGGCTTTTGACCTTGTAATCAGTTGTAAGGATGTGTTAGCCTCCGTGCCCTCTCTCCCAAACTCCCCATTTAACCTCTAGACCTGTCTAAGTGATGGGAGACTCCGAAACGCAAAACCAAAGAGCCTTCCAGTTTCCAGAGGAATGTGTATAAATGACCAGTCCATTTGCAATGTCTTTCATGCCTAAGGAAACAGCTCGCTGGCTTAAATTGCATGGGAACACCCAGCCCAACCCCATGGAGATCATGGTAGAGAAATTAAGATTATAATAATTTTTAAATGTGCAGCAGTACACAGCCCCAAGCCAAATAATAATTCAGGATGCCTCAATTTTGTCTCATTTTACATCCCTGTTTTCATGAAGACAGGGGACTTGGCCTTTTCTAAATATTGGTGCCCATGTTAGGTGCCGACCACCAGTTTTTTCCACTGGGGAAAAAACACATACTCACACTAGAAATCATCTTGTAGGCATGCATTGTTCTACCTTGTTGATAGTGGATCAAACAGCCAGGGGTTCAAGAACTGGGCATGTGAATTCTGCATGGGGAAATCCCAAATTCTCAATGTACTCCCCGTGCCCGTTTGTTCATTAGAACACATGCTTCCAACCAAAGTATATGTGAGGCAATCAAATGGGGAGGGAGAGTATATAGCGTTTGGTGGGGTGAAGCTACCCAAATTTGTGTTTGAGTCTTGCCCTTATTGGCTGATGGAAGCTGCCTGAGATGGACAAAGTGGATAAAGTAGTAAATAAATAACTCCTTACAAGAGGGCATCACTCCAATGGGTTGTGGTAAGACCTCTATTTTTTTCTTTAAAAAAACAAAACCCCTCCATGAACCCTGCTGTGTCTCCAACATTTTATTTTTGAGCAAGGTGCTGGAGATCCCGATAGCATCTTGACTGTCAATTTTGCCTGGATATTGCAAAGCATTCACAGCCATTTTGATCTGCAAGGACAATATTTAGATGCTAAACTGGTGCTGAACAAACCCCTTGCTGCTGCTAATGATGATGATGATGATTTTTTATTATTTATACCCTGCCCAGCTGGCTGGGTTTCCCCATCACTCTGGGCGGCTCCCAACCGAATATTAAAAACACAATACAGCATTAAACATTAAAAAATTCCCTAAACAGGGCTGCCTTCAGATGTCTTTTAAAAGTAGGATAGTTGCTTATTGCCTTGAAATCTGGTGGGAGGGCATTCCACAGGGTGGGCGCCATTACCAAAAAGGCCCTCTGCCTGGTTCCCTGTAACTTGGCTTCTTGCAGTGAGGGAACCGCCAGAAGGCCCTTGGAGCTGGACCTCAGTGACTGGGCTAAACAATGTGGGTGGAGACGCTCCTTCAGGTATACAGGACTGAGGTTCTTCTGCTCTATAGAACTGCTAGGGTAGGGATGAAATTCAGACTGGTTTGAATGGACTGCCATTCCCCTTGAAAACAGAGGCTCATAGTCTGGGGCTGCATCTGGATCCAGCTTGGAAGCTGGAACCGATTTTAATGGCTTACACCCAAGTAAGGCCATTTGTGTTGCAGCCTCACTGCCTCATTAGTGTGGGTACAATTGTAGGTTTGTGCATGTTCAGGTCTCCCACTGAAATCAGCTGGTTCACAGCAGTAGAAGATATTTCATTACTGGATACATTTTTCTAAGCCGTTGAAGTTCAGCATCAGAGCTAAATTCAAACAGCAAATAAACACGAGGAGATCTGAGTCAAATGTTTCGTGAGTACCGTTTGTCTTCAATTCTTAAAATCTATGGAAGCCATTTCAAGTGAAAAGGACTTCCCTGCAGGCTATGAAATAATGATGCCCTTACTATCAGGCGTTTTCGACTGAAATGCAAAGAAATTACTATATGTTATTCACTCCTCAAGCAGAACAGTTTAAGTGATGAGAGGAATATAAAAAGAACAAAAAATATATATTCCTAGTATAGCCACGGTGATCTGTGTGTGGAAATAGGTGCCCTCAGATGTATAATTCTGCTGGATCTACATCAATTTATGCAAAACGTTGCTGGGGGACACATTAATAGAGGATCTCCACACTGATAAGCATTGAGAAACACTTGCAGAGGTTAGGAGGAAGGTGTGTGCCACACAGTGTGTTAGAATATCCAAGGAACGTGGGTGTTGTGCTGGAACAAGTGAAATCTGTGAGTGAGTGAGTGCAGTATCACCTTGGGACTTTTATCACTATAAAGGTGACTTTTTGCACTCATTTTGCTTTTCACCTTGCATCTTTTCCAGCGTGGTTCCTGTGACTTTAACAGCTGTGCCAAGATGGAAAAGCTTTCACAGTTAACTTTCATGTACCTGTTGCACAACAGTTTAAAGGCACAGGATTCCTGCCAGGAAGCAAGATCAAAGAATCCTAGAATGCGTTTCTCTGAATCTTCTAGGCCACCTGGTCTAGCTCCTTGCTTGATGCAGTAAATCCAGAGCTAGAACAATTCCCCAAAGATGGTGGTCCAGCCTCTGTCTAGAGTTCTCCAAGATGGGAGATCCCATCACCTCCAAAGTAATTGATTCTATTTTCAAATGGCTCTTACCCTTAATGTGTTTTTCAGAACATTTCAATCAAAATCCACCCTCCTGTAGCTTCAGCTCATGAGACCTCGTCTTGCCTTCTGGACCATCAGAGAACAAGTGTTTGCTCTCTCCCTTCGTGAGAGCCCTTTGGGTATGTGAAATCTGTTATCATGGGTGTCCCCTCTTCAGTCTTCTCCAGTTCTTTCAGCCTCTCTTAAGCCTCCCCCCCCCGCAACCTTGCTGCCTATTTTCTTTGCCCTCCTTTGCTCCTGTTCATGTGCTTCTATGACCTTTTGAAAGTGTGGCTTCCTAGTTGGAAGTTGGGACAAAGCAAATAATGGCTCTTAGTTAGTGGATTACAGTCAGTTGTATAAAATTCTACAGCTTTGATTAACAGTTAGCTTCATAGTTACAGCACCCATGTAGAAAGCAGTTAGTCTGCTGTCAGATATTCATGGGACAATTTGTTCAGGAGCTCCTACTCACCCTTCTTCTTTCTTGCTAGTTTTATTTCCCACCTACCCACTTAACTTGATGGTTATTGGAGAGAGCAGAAAAATCCCCTTTCCCAAGCAACTGTTGATAGTAAAGAATCTCTCCCTGTCTTTGTACAGTGGTACCTCGGGTTAAGAACTTAATTTGTTCCGGAGGTCCGTTCTTAACCTGAAATTGTTCTTAACCTGAAGCACCACTTTAGCTAATGGGGCTTCCTGCTGCCGCTGAGCTACTGTTGCACAATTTCCGTTCTCATCCTGAAGCAAAGTTCTTAACCCGAAGTACTATTTCTGGGCTAGCAGAGTCTGTAACCTGAAGCGTATGTAACCTGAAGCGTATGTAACCTGAGGTACCACTGTATCTGGTTGCTGTAAAAAAAGACCAAAAAAAAAAAAAAGGAAGAATGTTAAAATGGTTAATGTTAAAATATTACAGCCCAATTCTCCAACACCATTTGCCCCTACACTTGGCCAGAGACTATTGGCAGTATGACTAAGTGAGCAGAGCACCAGACTGAGTCCTAGGTTTACATTTCTTGCTTTGTCATGCAATCACTGAATGATTCTACACAAAACACTTGCTGCAATAGGTTCAGTTTCCCCCATCTGTAAAACTGGGAAAAACCTGCTGTTTAGAGATGTTGCAAGGATGTGAGGGTGTATGGACTTTTTATACGTGTGGTCATAATGTTTTTCTCAGGGAGACTCACTTAAATTTGTCATGTTCATTAATTTCAGTGAGTTTTCTCTGAGCAAAGAGCACACATACCCTTTACCTAAGTGTTATGTAGTTGCATCCGTGCATTACCACTTATTTCACAGCAGGACCAATAATGTCATCTCCTGATGGGCTATTTGTAAATCCTCTGCATGGCAAATAAGCTTTTCTCAGGGAGAAACTCGCCATCTAATCTAAGGCTACATAAGCACACATGGCTAAGGGTTACACTGACACTTTCTTTTTGAAATATTCCCAAATCCTTTTATTATGACCAACCAAAATGTTACAAAATAGGGGGTAAGCTTTTGAGTGCACCAGAGCTCTTCTGTAAAGCACAGCGGGAGGTAGGGTGAGGGAAGGGAAGGCTTAGTACTGAAGTCAGAATATCTGCAGTGGTCAAAAAAAATTGCCGTATAGTTTTGTGTGGTTTTGCGGATCTGTCATGAAAGGTGTCTGCACTTGAGAATTTACATTACACCACTGGATTTCATAAACCCAGAGAAATGGTTTCATAAGCCCAGAGAAATGAGTGGAATTCACATCCGAGTAAATAGCATGAGCAGGATCAGGCTTCAGAAGTGCTTCTGAAGTTGGCAATAGCTATACCTCTCCAGCTCTGAATTTCGAAGGTGGTGGTTGGAGAAGTACTGTATCTCCCAAAAGCAACTCCCTCCCTATCCCAAGTGACTGCGCGGGGTGTGTCCCAACTACTTCTTTCTCCGCCTCCACTCAGAGTCCTCTCTGAAAGGCATCTCCGCCCACTTTGCTTTTGCCAACGTTCCGTTGGCTCCTGGGCCCGTCGCTCAAGCTTCGGAGGTGCCTTTCGGAGAAGTTTTTGCTACAATCAAGAGCTCCACGTGTGGTAGCCCCTGGAGCAGCCGGGAAAAGGGAGCCCCGCAGGAAAGAAAGGTGACAGGCGATTGGGAGGATTTTCGCCTACCCGTCCGCGCGAGGTGGGCGCTGCTGCTGGACAGCTAAGGAGCGCGCAAAATCCGAGCGAGGAGCGGCGGAAAAGCAACACCGCGCGCGGCAGCATCTGCGACCCGAGGTGGCTTGGGAAGAGTTGCCGGCTCAGGACTCGTTTGTTGCTTCTTCTGCTGCGCACAAAGCTCCAGCAGACCGGGGTGGGACTGGCTTCCCTTCTTTCCTCCATCAGCTGCAACGATCACCCGGGATCTCAGCCTGGGCGGCCGACAGACGCTGTGGCAGAGAGAGGAGAGCCCTCTCAGTAATAGATCCTCTCCTTGAAAGCCTGAGCGCATCCTCCTCCAGCGGCTGCCTCCCGGATCTGGCCGCGCTTCCGATCCCCGCCTGGATGCGCCGCGCTCCCTCCGAGAGGCGCCTGGCAGTGTTTCGCCAGCGCTCAGGCGCGCTGCTCCTTGGCTGCGCTTTGACCGGAGATGCGCCAAACTCGCCTCCCAGCTGGAGTTGATGCTACCCGCCCCTTTCGCAGCGGCTGGGCTGCTGCGAGGCTCCCTCGAAGGCCTGGTTTAAGCCCAGGTGCCCAGACCCCAACCCCCGCCCGACTCCAACGCCTGGCCGCTGGGATGATGCGCCCGTGAAGCTCCGCGCACGGGGGGAAACCAGCTGCGCCTTCTGCCCTTGCTCCCCACCCCCTCCACCCAAACCCGTCAGCGGACCCCGATCCGAGCCGTCCATGATGGGGTTGCCCGCTCCCCGCCAGGCAGGGCTAAGGGGCTGAGCGTAGGGGGCGATGGCCCCGGCGCGGGGGGCCGCCTAGCATGGCCCGGGGAGGGGTGCCCCCCGCCTCAGCGCCTGGCCCAGAGCCCCTGCCCCGGCGCGCCCTGCGGAAGCTGCTGCTGGTCCTCGGCTCGCTCCTCATGTCTCTCTACGCCAGTTACTGCCTGGCCGGGGCTGCGCGCGTCCTCACCAGAGAGCCGGCCCCGATCCCGCTCGCGCCAGGCGACGAGGGCGCCGCCACGCCCCGCGATCCTTCGCTGCAGCCCCAGGCGGCGGGAGAGGGCACCAAGCGGCTGCCGCAGGCGGTGATCATCGGCGTGAAGAAGGGCGGCACGAGGGCGCTGCTTGAGTTCCTGCGGGTCCACCCGGACGTGAGGGCGGCGGGCGCCGAGCCGCACTTCTTCGATCGGAACTATGGCCGGGGACTCGCCTGGTACAGGTATGGATGAGGATGCGCTGCTCTTGAACGTTGGCTTGGCTCAGGAGAGGGACTGGGCGCCCCTTCTCCTCCCCTTCCTTACTCTTGTGTGAATCCGGATTCAGTCCTGCCCAGATTGCTACTCTTGAGAAATATTGTGTGGGCAATTAAGGGGAATCCAGTACAGAGATATGAACTTAGGGGTCCTGTCACTCAGTGCCATGCGTCCAACTGTGTGCAGCAGAAAGTCATGCGTACTTACCTTGGGAATTCCTAACCCCTATGAACACTAATACTTTCTCCTGCGTAAACATGTATAGGTTTTGATTACTATTTGTGGTAATTGCGAGGGTCTTAAAACTATTATTTCTGCCTTGGAAGCACTGCTTTTTAATTTGAAGTGTATGGGACATGCTGTGGTTATTTAATGCTGAGGGAAATATCATTTGCACATGTTCAGAAACACTGATTGAGTTGCATATTCCAGGACTGGCCAGGTCATAGAGGGCAGAATTACTTCTGGGCCTTTGAACAATTGCAAGAGTATTCCTAAACTTGCTTGGGTTCCTCTTAAGGAAATGTGTGTGATGCTCTGCCCAGACCAGTCCTGAGTCCCGCCCCCCCCATCATGCTTTGCAAACTCTCCCTGAGACCTTGCTACTGTCCTAGGTCCATAAAATCTGTGAACATTCCTTTCCACAACCACAGAAATCTATTGGCCTTTGCCCTGAGATTCTCCCACCAAGATTAAAGCCTTGTGTTTAAAAACCCACTTCAGAGCTCCAATATCTCCTTCTCAAAAGGCAAACTTTGATGCCCAAATCTTCCTGGAGCCTCTCGTTTTTTGTTTTTAAAAAGTCAAAGGCCTTGGCATAATCTTTTTGTAAACCACTTTGAAGTTTTATTACAATCAAGTGGTATATAAATCTTGTGGAATAAATAAATAAATCATTAACCAACCATGAGACCATAACTCCTGTCCACAGCCTCCCCATTGACCTCTATTTATCTTCTCTGGTACCAAACCTATGAAGGTATCTCAGCCCTGCATCTTTAATTGTCTGACTTGAGTTGTTCTACCTCAACTGTCAAAGTTACTTACAGCCCTGACTTTTTCACAAGGGTAACCACAGTGTTTTCACAACAAGGTATGGGTAAAGCAGCTTTCGCTAGTTGGCCTTCTAATTAATAAGGTGTTTGCATGCTTAAAGCTTGGTCTCTAGCTTGGTCTCCCTACACTTCATCTTCACACCTGTCCCACAAGCCCACCTTTAACCATCACTCTGAGCACAACTAATTGTACTCAGTATGGCGACTCCTTGTGTAAGATGTTTTGCATCAGCCAGCTTTGAACCTCAGACGTCCCACAAATGTGCATCCCTAAGAGAGGAGCCCCACTCCCTATAACTCCATTTGCTCTTCCTACACGCAGCCCCATCTCCTTTTCATGTTATATTAGGAACTACTTCCTATCTTCACAACTTGATCTGCAGTGCATGTATCTGGAAGTGAAGCGAACTCTCTTGATTCCAATAAAGTTTTACCAAGTCAAGTGTGTTCAGATTTGCAGCATTAAAAAGCTCAGAAGTCGTCTTCAGGACATTGTTGCAGCCAGCTCCAGTCAGTCCTTCCTGATAAATATTGTGAATGCATCAAACTTTCTGTAAAGAAATCCTTAATTAATCGTCCTACATTCCATGAACCCACTTTCTCCCCCCTCTGAGCAATCAACTCTATTCGTTATATCTGACCTTTCCAGCCTCAGCCTTGAAAGTGACCTCACTCTGTATCTGTCTTGGACCCCCCCCCTTTCACCCTTATCTACAGGGTCAAAGAGGAAGTGTGCAAACATGATTGGCAAAACTCAATTAATCAAGGGCTCGTTTGGGATTCGAGGGTGGGGTGAGGAGGTAGAAGAAAGGCAGCCCTTGGCAAAACTCTGATTTGCAGGAGTGATGCCATGAGTGCTTCAAAATTTGGAATGCACGACTTATAATGCAGAATAAAAAGTGGAACAGACTATTTGGAACTAAATGTGTGTTTCAGCCAACAGAGGTCTTTAGGTTTGAATTTCTGATGCGAGGAATGTAAAGCTCCCAGTTTGCCACTTGTTCAAACAGTCTGAAAGGTGATGATTTCTGCAAAAGGACAGGCGGTTCCCTCTCTAGTTCCTTCCTCATGATTTCTTTTACTACTAGTTGTTAAATTAAAACAAACTGTAAGAATAACAGCCCATCTACTTCCATTAAAAGGGATGTGCATTGCAAAACATGGGTAGGCTCTCATTTTTACAGACTTGTATCTAGCAAAATTAAAAAGAAAGAGGGGTGGTTTTTTTTTGGAAGGCAGAGTTAAGAAATTAGTTGTGTGTACTCACTGATTGTCTGTTTCAAAGCTCTTAACAACATTCTTGCCAGTGGATTGTGGGAAATTAGTGCAATTAACCGCCTCTCTGTTCCTGTAAATACTTTTATCATTTTATTTCTTCTGCCATTGACACATTTATGCAGTAATGAGGGATTTGTGCAACTGGAGCCTTTGATGGAGAATTTTTGATGCTGTGCAAAAGGTCCTTCTAAAAACCGTGGGCCCAATCCAGAGGCAAAGTTAGGTGTGCTTGACACTACAGTCTTGTATGCATCTAGTCCAACCTGCTACATAGCAGGAATCTCAACTAGATCATACATGACACTTGGTCATCCAACCTCTACTTGAAAGCCCACAAGGAAGGAGAGTCCACCACCTCTTGTGAGTGTCTGTTCCACTGTTAACTGAGGTTTATTCCTTGGTAAGTGGGTGTTTTTGATATTAGAACTATATTCACCCTTTCCCAACTTTGGGAGGTGGGTATGCCAGTCGTGTGAGGCCAAAAGCAGGTGTGGCTGTGGCACATTCTGGCATTCATAGACACACAGCCTGTCTCTCCTCAGCTGATCTGTGCAGATGAGCTGGGGGGTATTGTCCCCTTTCAGATCCTCAAATGATTAAACTGATGGCCACAGAGGGGACAACTTGCATCCCCATCAGGGCCCCTGGACAGTGTCTCCTTTTTTTGTTTTTGATGCTGCCAAAATCAGTGGGTTTAAGGGCCAAAATAAAATTGACCGGAGGGCTGCATCAGACCAGGGCTTAGCCACCCCCAGGGTATAGGCTTGCATCCTCTCTCACTGAAACCAGCAGGGTTTAATACATTTTTGGTGTAGGAGAACAAAGGAAGCTACCTATTCAAATGGTGATGTTTTATTCCAAGTCAGTGCTGTCTACACTGGCTGGCAGTGACTCTCCCAGGTATGAGGCAGGAGCTCTTCCCAGCTTTTCCTGGAGTTGGCAGGGCTTGCACCTGTAGAACTACATGTGTCACAGGTCGCTATTGGGGAATGCTGTGACAGTGCTAGTGAGGAGCTACACTGTCTCCATCCTTCTTGTGCCTTCTTGTGATCTGTAGAAAAAGGTGCTGAACTACAACACCCATAAACTGCATCCTACATGGCCAATGGCAAAGGATGATGGGAGCTGTAGTGCAGCAACACCTGGAGAACCACAGGATTCCTGCACCTGGTATACTAGACAGACTGCTGGACTTGTGCTGGAAAGGGGTACACTTCTTCCACACACACCCTTTTTTTGAAGGGAAATGGTTGTGTGAATCAGGCATATGCAAGCAGAGGGAGTGTGATTGACAAATACTTTTTGTAAATGGCAGAAGTGACTTTACCCTTTCAGCTTTGGGGCTATGTGTGATTGTTTTGACCCCTTTCAGGGTGTGAGTAGAATTTCCTTTGTTTCCTTTCAGTGTCATTGTCATGTAGCCAAATTTGATTGTTTATGCATCATCATGGGCTCATCCACACAGGAGCTTGATGTGGGTTTGAAGCTACTTGCACGATGATTTTTTTTTTGGGGGGGGGGAGGGTTGCCACTATCCACAAAACATCCTGTGAAGCCCATACTTCCCCCCCCCAATTTATCCCCCATGGATAAATCTGATAAAGGGGGAAAACCTCCAGCATGAAATTGCTTGTTCCCTGATGTGCATTGTGAGGTCACAATGTGGAAGGGCTCTTTTTTTACACGTGCAGATATCTCATTGGATGTTGTCTATTGCCACTCCCTCTACTTCAATTTGCTCCTTCGCTGAGTACCACTTAGCCTTTTGTTTGTTTGTTTGTTTGTTTCCATCAGTCCAAAGGAAAAGATGCAGTGCTTGTTTCCGCCAGTTGCTGCTGAGGATGTGGTTGTGGTACACACATACACAACTGTTTTGTGTGAAATTGCTGTTGTGAGAAACAACTGTATTAAAAATTAAACTGGGCCTTCAGGATATAAACAGGCTTCGGCAGCTACAGTAGGAAGGAAGGAAAAAGAAAACACTCGCTCTCCAAATCCCACCACTCAAGAGCGCTCTCTTCCCACCCCTGCTCCCGCACCCAGCCTATCTTGTCTCAGCTATGTATGCCTGTGCGTGAAATGCATTTGCATTTAATTGTTGACTGCCCAGAGATTATTAGTTATTGGGTAGTATAAAAGCACTGTCAATAAAGAAATGAATGAATGTCACCAATCCATGCACTTGTGCTATTTTGCCTGATGGCTTGACCCTACCAAGTAGCATTCAGCAAGATTCACTGCCCCACTCACACCCTGCACCCCCAAACTGACTACTTTGGCAAAGCAGCTACCCTCACTTGTGCCTCCTGATGGGCTTGTTTCATGAAACTTGAGTGGGTAGAGAGAAGGGAGATCACAGTTCCAGGATCCCATCACAGTTCTCCACTTCCAGGATCCCATCCTGAAATAAGCTGAAGCCAGATCATAGTAGGGTTGGAGTAGTAGTAGTAGGGTTGGAGAAAGCATCCCTATTGGTGTAGTGGTTAAGAGCAGTGGACTCATAATCTGGTGAACCGGGTTCGCTTCCCCGCTCCTCCACATGCAGCTGCTGGGTGACCTTGGGCTAGTCACACTTCTCTGAAGTCTCTCAGCCCCACTCACCTCACAGAGTGTTTGTTGTGGGGAAGGAAGGG